GTAATTAATGGGCATTTCATTGCATGATATATTTGATCATCTACAAATCAGTAAGAACTTTGGCTCTAACAGACCTGTTACGGTGCATTCACACTGAATGTGAATATGCAAATATATTGGGTCAATCGCTTGCTTGGCAGGGAGTGGATGGGGCAAAATATTTGGATATTTTGCCTCATCAACAACCTCGTTCCCTCAGTAAGAACAATGATGATGGGTGGTTACCGGGTCTTCCAGTGTGACAATGACCTGAAGCACATAACTAGGGTAACTACAGGGTGACTCTAATAAACACTTCAAGGTCCTGGAGTTCTCTCCTGCGGAACCAACTAACAGTTTTAGTTTGTGAGGCAGACACCCTGTCTATTTTTACGGGTAGGCTTAAAACTTACCTTTTTGATAAACCTTATAGTTAGTGTTGTACAGGTTATCCTGAGCTATCTCTATAGATATGCTGTTATAAGCTAAGACCTCTGGAGGACATAGGGACCCCTATTTCATCATTCTGCTTCATTCTATCTCTATTCTCCCACTCTGCAGAATCTGTTAGTTCAATCTCTAATGTTCTGCTCTCTCTGCTTTTCCTCAGAGTAGCTTCATCTGGTCTGTTCCTGTTTGGCTGTGACTCCATCCTGGAGAGAAATATCAGCTGTGCTGCTGCCATCAACACTTTTGTTTATAGATGTTTGAGATCGGTCTGTTTTTCCAGTGTAGTCCTGTTTCTCTGACTGTGACTGGTTGAATGTGCTCTCTTCATTCCCTGATATGGGAGCTGGCTCAGAGCTCGTCTGCCTGGCTGTGTGTTTCCTGGACGGGGCCACCTTCTACAGCTGCTTTTTGTATCTCTGCTTCTGTCTCCTTGAACCCCAGTCGGCTTCTGCAGATGGCCGCTCACACTGAGCCTGGTTCTGCTGGAGGTTTCATCCTGTTAAAAGGGAGTTTTTCCTCTCCACTGTCGCTACAAGCATGCTTAGAGTAAGGGATTGCATTTGAGTCAATGAGTCGATGCAATCAACTGTTTTTCCTTAGATAGAAAACTTTGTATCAATTTGACTGTATGATCTGGTTGAACTGTAAAATGCCTTAAGATGACATGTGTTTTGAATTGGCGCTATATAAATAAACTGAACTGAATTTAATTGAGTGCCCAAGCATAGCTGTCGAATCTCCCATCTAGCATCACATCGGGTCACCTTAAAATATATTAGCTGTGTACAAGTTTTTCTGTAACAAATATTAAGTGTTGTTTTTTATGTATCAGTTCCTGTGTCATGCAATAAAATGCAAAATAATTGCTTGTGATTTTTTAAAAGTTTTGTTTTGGATTATGTCAGTCAAAGTTGAAGAGTCGCCTATCAATGATAAAATGATGAAAAGCTGCAAAGCCAACAGTGTAACAAATACTTGTTCTCCCCACTGCTTAATTAAAAAAAGCAAATAAATGTTGTGTTTCTACCTTAGCAAATAAAGTAACACCCAGGTGTTATTTCTGGAGAGCATCATTTCTGATCTTTGATATTTCAGACATCATGTTGGAGATTATTTGTTGAACTCAGCAGCTTTTCGGGAACCTCTTGACATTTGTGCAGCAGGAGCTAATACTGGGAGGTTTGGGAGAGAAAAAAAAGAGTTTTTCATTATGTAGGCCATCTTCTAAGCTTTTGTGTTGGAAACAGTAGGAATGAAAGGAGGGGCAGGCACAATGGGAGTAACTCCATAAAACACTGCAGCTGATGTCAGTCAAGAGCAAAATAAAAACAAATACAAGAAAATAACAAAGCTCCCCACCCTTGCACATCTCTTAGTCAGTGTCACATAAAGTGTGATCGGTCTGTCGTTAAATAGATTAGAAACGATTTAATGCGATGAGCAACCAGAGACATCTGAAGGGCTTCACCCTCCTCCTCCTCCTAAAAACCTCTTCCCCTCCAACCGCCTCTAAAAAATAAAATGATTATAGTTATATAAGTTTCCCTCCCACTCCCTCAACACCCTTAGCCATCAGTAGGGATGTTGTCATGGCAACGTCCGCCCCTCCTCTGAACGTCACCATCGGTAGCTGGAGGATGAAGCCGCATGCAGCTCCCGTCTCTCTCAGAGCCTCTCAGAGGGCAGCTGTGATTTGCACCGTCTCACATGCAGGTGGGAACTGCTGCGGCGTGGTGAAACAATCTTCTCATGACTGTTCTGAGTCGCTCCAGCTGCTCCTCGTCTCCCACCCTCCCCATTAGAAGCCAAGGGACCAACTGACCGAGCTCCTCCACAGGTAAGCATGGATCCGTTTGCATTTTTATGCATTAGTTGTTGGCCAGTTTGCCTGGATTACTTGCACATGCATTTAGTAGCCTAATGTGCATTTGAATCTCTCCTCATCCATGTTCTGAACTGTCCTCCTCCTTGTCCTTTACCAGCCGTTATGTCCTGGTTGTTCTTGGACTGGTTCGTGCCCCTCTACCTGCTAGTGTCGGTTCTGGTGCTGGCAGGCTTCGGAGCGTGTCTGTACTTCCTCGAGCCCGGGCTGCAGGACGCCCACAAATGGAGCAACAAAACAATCCGACATCACCCGCTGGTGGCCAGTGTGAACTGCAGAGATGACGATAGCAATGCCCTGATCTGATGGAATGGGTAGCAAAGGACCCATCCAGACTGGGGCGAAGACAGGACATCGAAGGGACAGTCAGGGGAGGGGAGAAGGGGGGGACCTTGCCAGCTAAAAGAGGAGGAAGATGAGGATCATTTATCATTCCAATTTTTCTTTGCTCTCTGTGGGTTTTCCCAGCAGGGATCAGGGAAAGTGTGGCAGACATGCAGGGTCAAAGAATCAGATTCTCATGTGATTCAGAAACATGTTTCCCTTTACTGTTTATAGATCTGATGCCATCCTATATAATTGTGCCAACTTTTTGCATACATTTTGTAATTTGACAATCACATTACGTCCGACACAAAGCCAACTTTTTTCATGCATTTGTTCATAGTAAAGTGAATGACGTAATTCTCCTGCTACTGGGGGAGCTTTTTTTTGTCATCTTTTTTGTAATCTTCTCCCTGATGTCTGCACGGCAGCTGTTGAAATGCATGTGGATAGCTAGTCCTGCTGTGTAAACTGGTGAGACGCTTCTTTAAGTAACTTGCTGTGAATAAATTCCAGAGAGTCCTTCAATATGCCAAGAAAAAAGAAAAGGATGGACCAATGGTACAGAAAAATTGTTTAGTTTGTTTTACTGTGTTTTGATTTTGACGGCATCCTGAGGTAACAATGTAACTGCCTTTTTTGCCTTCTTTGTTCTTACAAAATAAAATCTTTTAATCCATTTAGAACCCTGGTTTTTATGAGTTTGATGTAAGCAATAAAGGGGAAGATTTATGTTCCTATGCAAAAAGTTTCTACAGATATCCTCTGCTTTTGCTTTCTTAGTCTCTTAATTGTTTTGGACAAACTGTCATAATATTAGATGACAGTCGGGGGGTACGCACTGTGTGGTTTTCAAAAATTGTTTCGTCTATTGGGACAAAAACTATCATAAGCAACCATTTAGTATGTTGCTGAATCATAAGTTAACTGTGATTAACTTCAACTTTTAGATCTATAGAACCTTAAAAGGGTTCAACAAATCCTGTCTTGTAAAGAAATTTGCTGCGTAAAAACATTTAAAAAAAACATGCAAACTTTCCTAGGAGTGGCAGCCGAGCAAATTCCTCCAAGAGCTTATCAATGACTTACCCAGGAGGCCATAAACAAACCCAGAATAACAGCTAAAGCACTGCAGGCATCAGTGTTCATCACGCAGCAATAATAAAGGGGGACTGGGGTAAAATGGCATCAATGAGAGAGTTTCAAAACTAAAAAAATGTTGCTTCCAAAAGACAAGACAGAGGTCCATTTCATTGTCCAAAGACATCTTGATAATCTGAACATTTCAGAATCTCGTCCGTCTTTTCTAACTACAACTAATTCTGCCCACGAAAGAAACCCTGAGGCAAAACAGATAACATTGTTTGAAATTGCATTTCCATCTCAATAAATGAAATTGTCATTTAAAAACACTTTTTTTATCACATGAAAAGTCTCCCTATTTCAAATTTATAGATAAGTTATTGATTAATCTGCAAATACTTTACCTTATTCATAAATTTTTATGATGCATAAAACTTATTAGTCATTCAAACATGATATGTTTGCAAAGCCCAATTTGCTTACAAGGTAGTAGCATAGTCTGAAATTATATATAGCAGTAATACTTGATGGAATATATAGTTAAACAGCTTAGGCTTACCAATTATTTAAAAATAGATCAGTTTGTCTCTTTAATTGAGATCTAAAAGGTACAGATTAATTGGTAACATATCTATGAACTATATGTCAGCCACCTAAGGGATGCCACATCTTAAATTGGCACCATTAACTTTTCAGATCATACTAATAATTTGGTTTAAAAAATCTGAGTTATAACAATGACTTTCATTTTTTTTTTTTTTTAAGTGTCCACTTACACTGTGACCCCTGCTGGCATCTGTACAATAAGGATTTCTACATGAAAGGTTTTGTTAAATAACTGCACTAATCAGAGGCTAATGTCTGCATCAGAAAGTATGGTGATTTTGTTTCAATTAAAATTTATTGAATCATTTTAAACCTTGCTGAATTTTTTAATGAATCCAATGTTAATGAACCAAATGTAGTTTTGTATCAGAGAGAAGTAATCTCTTGAATGATCCAACATTTTTGCCTTCTACCACAACCCATCAGTTATCATGAAACCTTGTCCAGAGACCCAAGAAGGCCAAAAGGCCAACAGCTTTTGCTCTTTGTGCACAAACAACTTATCACTCACTCTTGTGTAGTTTTGCTTGAGTTAGTCTCTGATTGCATGCCTGCTTTGTAACTGAACCAGCTGCACACAGGCCACACTCAGACTTCATTGTGTCCAAGGAAGCAAATCAAACAGGACACCACAGTGAGAGGAACAGTGAAAGCTTAGAGAACAAAAATGACGAGAATGGCACTTGTTCGCCCACCGCTTCCTACTTCTCTGCTCATTGCCCCGAACTCGCAGGCTTGTTTACTCTCTCAACGTGACGGCAACAAAGAAGGAGCTTCTGTCCTCAGGTTTGCTTTTTTACTCTAAATCTCTAAATCGGTTCTGTATAACAATGCTCAGCGTCTTAGCATACTGCAGCAGAATGCAGTCACTTCATACAGCTTGCATATTTCCAACTCTGGGGAGCTTGCAGTTATAAGAGCTTGTCTCATAAAATGCTAATACGCTTTCAGACATCCGGATTGTAGAAACTGCTGGAAAAAAAGTAAAGTTTGTATTTAGAAGTACCGCAAAATTTAGTCCCTATAAATAATGTTACACCATGTCAACTTTTTAAAATGTTGGCACTCTATTAAATATTTTGTAGGAAAAAGGAAATTAATCATGGTTTTCGAAATATGTGCTTTGCATTTTCATCCAGCTTCCATCAGTCAATGCTTTCTAGAAAAACTTTAAGTGGGTTCCAACCTAGTTTGTGGTACACTTCAAGGGGGACCTGTTAGCCTTTCTTTCAAGATGTCTCCCTGCTACACCTCCATAAAACCCAGATTAGTGAAATGCATCAATAACAGCTGTCATGTTGATAGATTTTCCCATCTGGGCAGTAAATCCATGCAGCTCCTAAAGTTTTTTTTTTTTTTTTCAGATCCCTTGGTTGCCTGATAAATACTCTTTCAATTTTTGGATGACAGGCGACGCAGTGAAGCAAGAGCTATTAAAAAACTTGTATATATATCTTCTTCTTTCTTATTATTTTTTTTTACTTTATCCTGCTTTAGATTTCTAAGCAATATCATTTAGTCCTGCCTGCTGCCTTCCTTGGTCTTTATGTTTTTTCAATAATACTCTCAAATAAAAACAGCATTTGGGACAGGAATCGAACCAGTGACAACTACACTGAGGACATTAGCCTCTGCATATGCTGCACCTGCTCTACCACTGAGATGTGACCCACCCTTTCACACAATGGGCTGGATTTATTGTTGGATTAAACTTAATTTGTTGTCGACGGTCTCTCTTTAATAATGTAGGGATTTGGGTGAATACATTTAAAGAGGTATGAGTACTGTTGCAGTGCACTGTAATCTGTAATCTGTCTTGCCCTGCAGGTGGTTCCTGCTGGCTCCCATTCAACAGAATGAGTGACAGCGAAACAAATGAGCATCCTACAGTCTGCGTGTCGCCTCCTCTTCCTCTGTCTTCTCCTGTGATCAAGAAGAAAGCTATCTTAATCCCATCGTTTGATGACAAGGGCCTCATCTTTACAAAGAGCAACTCTAAACTCTCAGCAGCTGATGGGTAAGCAGATATGTGGCTTGTCTTCAATCTCACAAGATGTTTTGTAATCTGTGATCACTAAATGCATCTTCATTTGTTATATTTTTCTTTTTAAGATCAAATGAAGTAATTTCCTCCAAAGCCTCATGTCAGTTCATGCGAGGTAAAGAATGTCTGAATTCACAGAGAAACAACAAGGAGAGAGCTTCAACTCTTCCAAGGTCAAAACCCTCAGCACCCAAGTCCATGACCGCCTCTGTCAAACCTAACATCTGCATTTCCCCTGCTCCACTGCCAAGTTCCTCTCCTACACTCCCATCTCTCAAACCGAGACCAAGGGATTCACTTCTTTCTCCCGCCTGGGAGTTGGGTGAATTTCATCCAATACCACAACAGCCAGACCCTAAGCCAAGAGTGTCTCCAACTCTGACTGTTCCAACACCCAGGCTGAGCCCCACCCCTTCATCAGCCACCCAAAGCCAACAAGAGAGGCAACCGTCTCCCATTGCTCAAGAGAGACACGCCAGATCTATTTTCCTTTCTAACATGACAATGGGGCCTTCCAAAAACATCAAACATGAAGTTCTTGACCAAGGAACGTTACTGCATTTTACCCATCCTGGCAAAAAAAACATCAGCAGAGAGCCCCGGCATACGACTGAGATTTCCAGGCTTCCAGCAACATCTCACAAAGCCTGCATAGTTCAAAGTAAAGTTGGATTGAAGAAAGCAGAAATTACAGATACAGACCAACCAAAGACTCTGAACAGAGACCATAATATTGTTACCACGCCGAAACCAAAGCTAATCACCAAACAGCAAAAACAGTGCGACCCCAGCCAAGCAACAAGCAGTTCTGATACTGTTCCACCAATGTCTGATGTCCCTTCTGTGAACTCAAGACTTCTAAGTAGATTAGCAGACAACAGCCTTAAGAACAATTATACTCACACTTCTTTCTGTGCACCATTTAATCAGTCATTTGTGCAAACAGATCCCAATAAAGGAACAAAGTTGACCCAACTGTCCCCTTGTACAGATTCCCAGAATAGTCTTTATTCAGACAAAAGTGAAACAAGAAGAAAATTTGACCATGACACTGAAAAAAGGAGAAAAGAACGAGAAGCTCAATCTCTAAAAAGCAAGTCCCCTCAGCATCAAATATCTCTACCAGACCAAACGCCCAGCCACTCCACCCAGACAGATGTAAAAAGTGCAGTAAGCTGGTCTGAGAAATCATTAGGGGATTTAAGCTGCCAGTCAAGAGACCTCAGTCAGATACTTCAGAAACATTGGAGTGGACAGAGATTAAATCAAGTTAAGACGTCCATGGGGGCATCTCAGAGCCTGGGGACCTTCCAACCTGTTTCTGATGAATCTTTGAATTCTCAACATGGATCCTGTTCAAACATTGACAGAAGACTTACACATCTCTGGAATCAGGAGCTGACAGAAGAACGAGAAAACCAAAAGGACATTAACTTTAGTCACAGAGCTTTAAATCAAACAAGTGTTTTTAAAACACCTGACCACAATGAGGCTGCAAAAGCATTACCAAAAAACCCCTTGGCCCCAACAGTGGCAGAATGCCCATTTAAGACAAACAGACCAAGCAATAACTTCAAGAGAGCCACTGACTGGCTGCAGCAGGCATTTCACCAGCCTTCAGAAGAGACCGCTACACCTGGTCACCAACAAAACCATCAACCAAACTACTCTGACCTATACAGAGCATTTATCACTGAAGATTCAGAAGACCCTTATTACGTCACTATGCACTACCCAGATTCAGTGTATGTAGGTGAGTACAAACATGTCCAAAACACAATAAATACTTCATTCAACCAAAGTCAATCCATTGAGTGACATATTATAGTACCTCTGTTTTAATTTCAGAGAGGAGTACACATATAGTGTGTAGGGGGTGGAGCTTAGGCGAGTGTGGTGGTTGAAGAGGATAGCAGAGGGTTGGAAGACACTGGTCCTTATCAGCAGACAAACAGACAGGCTGAACCGAGATGTGACCACATTAGTTAGCAGACTCTGTAAAACCAAAGAGCACTAGAAAACATGCCAATGCAGTCCTCCACACGGGCATATGAACACAGCAAAAACATGCAGGAACCACGGAAGCAGAGGGACGTAAGCAGGGCAACTGTGAGATAAAGTGTAAGTAGTGGGTGAAAGAGCTTCTCTTCTAAAGGGTAGTTGACATAAATATGGCTTTATCTGGTGGACTCTTGGATGAAAGAGCTCAATGTGATGAGAATGTTTCTGCAGTGTCTTGTGAAGGTATGAAACCAGTTAGGTAGCATTTTTCTTGAGATCAATTTGACATTGGATTTGGAGTTTTGAATTATATTCATTTAAATGGCTTTCGGACAAAAAAAACAAAACAACATTAGAAGAACAATGTCCAAAATGTTGTTTCTTGTGCCAAAACTAATAGAAATCCCCCCTGCACTCTTTATTGAGCTTTCTTACAATTCAAAGACTTAACCTTTACATGAGGACTTGTCTAGTGTTGTTTATCTTTTAGTTCATGGAGGTATGAAGAGAGAATTATACAAACTATGTCATAGGTGCTTTGCAAAGCTGTTCATGGCCCTTTAGGTTTTTAACATTTAGTAACATTAAAAAACCTAACATCTATGCAGGTTATAGTGATTTTATAATAGATCAACATAAAATTGTGAAAAATTGTGTGGAAGGAAAATATTTCTAGTTTTCATAAAGAGCTTTTCAAACTCAAAATCCTAATAGTTTGCTGTCTATTTTAAACTGATCCCAGTTTACTCTTATACCCCTAAATAACATTCCCTTCAACCCATTGCCTTCAGAAGTCACTTATTTTAGTGGGAATTGAATCTTCAGGACACATTTACATGGCAGACAGGATAGAGATCAAAATGGTGGGTAATCCAATGCTTTCATTGTTTCTGGAGGAGCTGCAGAGATCCAGAGCTCAGGGGAAGAATCTTTTTGAATTGCTTCCTTTTTATCATTAGGCAAATATGGTTCATTGGGGCGGTTGCCAAAAGAAAAGCCATAAGCAATCAGTTTTCACTTTTTTGTCACAAGCCAAGTAGAAAAAAACCTAGGCAATGTGTGGAAGAAGTTCTTTTATGTATTAAATAACCAGGAGACATGACAACATTTTCTGATAGAAATTGTAATCTTACTCAGATCAGAGAAGTTGTTTAGAATGCACAGAAGGCAGCTGCTCACCTCTGGGCCCTGATTAAGAGTTAAAAAGGCATTTTATACATCTCCAGTCTGCCACATCATCTTATTTAACATTATACACGTTAGCAGATGATTAGCCATCCATAGTTTCAGCCTTATCAAAATATTACACTTCGTTCTTAGCTGAAGGACACCGCTCTCATTCCATTTCCAAATCTTTGCTGCATACAGAATGAAGATTATAACTCTATATCCAGACTGAGGAACTGTCCTAATAAGATTAAAACATCAGTTCTCTCTCGCAACAGGCAGCCAATACCAAGGTGTAATAAACTCACTCATCTTCAATGATAACTATCCTAACAAGTGGCAGCATCATGCTGCTGGGGATGTTAACTATGTTTTACTTGTAAGATTAGATTCAAAGCTAGATTCAAAGGTACCTCTGAATCTAATTTGGCAGAATTCAAACGCTAAAGGCAACACACTTCAATAATATTTTAAGTTCAGTGCTTTAACGTTTGCTTAACTTTGAATTCTATGTTATTGTAACCGGGAATCTTGTTTTTTTTTCTGATTGTGTGGAAGCAGTTGTGGCTTATAACTTGTAATGAATGAATTACAAATTTTAAGCTTCTCATTAAAGCATCATATGTTTTATTTAAAGGTAAATTTGTAATCTGCATCTTAAGCTAACCCTATCTACTTCAGGGACAGTAGCAGTCAACCTGCAGCCTTGGTGGTCACTCCAAAAAGCAAGCTGCTGTCTCAACATTAGGCCACCCAATGACTTAACCATAAGTTGTAGTAACCTTAAACATACAAAGAATTAAATAATTATCTTTATTGTCGTTGTAGAAATAGTACGATGTTATTTGATTTGACAGCATCTCCTGAATAATAATTTGTATCTTTAAAATTGAACATTAAAAGAAGACTAAATAAAAACGGACCCTGAAAGTTGCTTTTTACTCTATAATTACTGGCGACTCAACCAAAAATGCTAAAAATTTCAACTACAATGGTGTCTTGCACTGACTTATATTTATCCCTATATTTAAACCGTAGTTTTTCAAGGTCACACAACTGAAAATTGTTTTTGTAGCCTAAAAAAAGGAAGTTAGATTTTTTTTTCTTACATTGTAACTTTTTTTTTCTCCTGAGCTGCATTTACTCTCAGCTCTTTATGTAACGTTTTTGTTTCTTTTTTGCAACTGACTGACAGGTGCTAGGCCATGCGTTTCCCTGGGGTTGTTGTTTTGACAAGTTGAGACTGATAATACTAAATCTAATTAATTTAGATAAAGTTTAATTCATATTATTTTAGTTGCAGGAAAACTACAAAGTATTGAGGTGTCCTACCAAGCTGCCATAAAGTGGGTGCAAAAATAATTTATAATTTTTAAAAATGTCTGTGGTCTATATATTCTATAGTGCCAAAAGTATTTGCTCATCCATCCAAATTACTGGAATCAAGTGCACCCAGGCATGCAGACTGTTGTTACTTTTGCTAAGTAATTCGTCGTTTTCAGGAGCTCAGCAAATTTTCATGTAGAACTGTGATAGGTTGCCAACAGTGTAACAAATCCAGCTGTGAATTTCCCTCACTTCTACGTATTTCATAGTCAAATGTCAGCTGTATGGTTACAAAATGGAAGTGTTTGAATGACAGCAACTCAGCCATGAGGTGGTAGGCCAGTTAAACTGGTGAGTCCAGATTTAAAGGTTGCCACTTGTCTGACTGCATTGTGCAAAGTGTAAAGTTTGGTGGAGGGAGCATTATGGTGTTGGGATGTTTTGCAGTAGCTATGCTTGGCCCCTTAGTCCCAGTGAAAGGAACTCTGAATGCTTCAGCAAACCAAGAGAGTTTGGAAAATTCTATGCTCCCAACTTTGTTGGAAGTTTGGCCTGATCCCTTCCTCTTCCAATGTGTCTGTGGTCCAGTGCACAAAGGAAGGTCCATGAAGACATGGATGGTTGAGTGCAGTGTGGAAGAAGTTGACTTGCCCTCATAAAGTCCCGACCTCGACCCAATAGAGCGCTTTTGGGATGAATTAGAGTTGAGACTGAAAGCCAGGCCTTCTCGTCCAACATTAGAGTAAGACCTCAGAAATGGTCAAAAATTCAGATGAACACACTTTTGTGGACAGCCTTCCCAAAAGAGTTGAAGCTTTTTTAGCTGTAAGGGGTGAACTGATGCCATATTGAACCCCTATGGATTAGAAATAGGATGTCATTTAAGCTCCTATGTAAGTCAAGGCAGGTGAACCAATACTTTTGGCAACATGTTGCATGAATATGAACCACACAAGAATATAACATGTTTTGAAATACGAATGCAATAAAATTAAGTTTGATATTAAATCTTACGTTGATCTATCCAACAATACTTTCAAAAATGCTACTTTATCAAGAGAAATACAGCGATATAGAAAGGTTTAAAGGCATTCGAACTGGAAATAGAAAAGAGCTAATTTGCAATCAAAGCATATCAGTCCTGGATACGAATTAGCATATTGTGAATCAACCTAAAATTATCCTGATTAATGTAATTCCACATTTGGGAGTTTTCGGTCCGCTGTTGTTCACATAAAACTAACACAATTGCTTTGCTAGATTTACTTTTTCTAACAAGTTCAACTAAAATGAGAGCATATTTTTCATCAATTTGGCATCTTTCATTCACCACGACTTTACTTTCAAATTAATAATAATAATAATAATACACTTAATTTATACTCCACTTTCCATCAAAATATCTCAAAGTGCTAGTGGTAAAAAGAGAAAACCATGATATAACATGTAAAGGGGACCAAAAGAAATGTTTTAAGGCCTTTTTAAAACACTCAGTGGATTGAGGCGTCCTCAAGGTGTCAGGGAGGACATTTCAAAGATGTGGGGCAGCAGCACAAAATTGTTCTGAGTCTTGTTCTCAGAATGTAGAGGAGGTTTGAAAGAGTGGAGCAAAGGGAGCAGGTTGTGTTCAGTGGGCTGATAAGTTCTTTGAGGTAGGGGGCATGGATGCATTGATGTGTGAGGAGGGAAACCTTGTACTAAATCCTGGTGGAGATAGGAAGCCAGTGTTATGAATGGAGAATGGGGATAATGTGCTCATGTTACCGCACTCTCATCAGGATCCTAGCTGCAGAGTTTTGAATGTACCGGAGTCTCTGCAGACTCTTTCTAGGAATCCCAAATGAAAGTGCGTTGCATAGTCCAGTCTGGAGGAAAGAAATGCATGAACTCTCCTTCCCATGGGGCGGCAAGGGGAGAATTGGACAGAGTTTTGAAACGTTATGGAGGTGGTAGAAAGAGGTCTTGCATTGGTGATTTATATGGGCTTCAAAAGTGAGTTGGAAGTCAATTTTTACTAACTGTTAATTATAGCGGGATGTTAGTACCAGAAAAGGTGATGCTGGTTATGGATAATTGGTTTGATGAGTTCCAACCACGATGGTTCGGTTTTGGAGCTATTGAGTTAAAGAAAATCCATAACACTATTCTAAGATGTAATTTTTTTTAGCCCTTGCACAATGGCATTCTTAAAGGTCAGCACATCAGATGCTTTTATTTGCTTTAAGAATATAGTGCAAGTTGTTTATTTTCCTTTTTTTTTGCAGTATTTCTAAAACTAAAACGCCAAATTATCCAGAGGTTAATCAAATTATGCAAAAGTCTAGACCTATAAATAGTATGGAAGCCCGTTTCTGCCACTCTGTTAAAAAAATAATATATAAACTGTCTCATTATAATGTGACAGTAACTCATTACTTTCTCATTATAATGAGATGGTTCTAAATAATACAGTACTAAATTATTAAGATATAAGTATAAGATACTGAATAATGAGATAGTATCTCATTGTAATGAGATAATCTGCACAGGCTCAGCACGTTTGGAGACTGTGGAGTTTGAACCCCCCTTTCAAATTTATGGAACCTCGTTTCCGCTACTCATTATAATGAGATACTATCTCATTATTTTGTGTTACTATGTTATTATAACTCATTATAATGAGAGAGTATCTCATTATAATGATATACTCTCTCATTATAATGTGATAGTAACTCATTACTTTCTCATTATAATGAGATGGTTCTAAATAATACAATACTAAATTACTAAGATATAAGTATAAGATACTGAATAATGAGATTGTAACTCATTATTTTTAGTCACTATGTCGTTATAATGAGATAGAATCTCATTATAACGAGATAGTTACACAAAATAATGAGATAGAATCTCATTATAATGATATATATATATACTGTATATATATCATTATAATGAGATAGTATCTCATTATAATATATATATATATATATATATATATATATATATATATATATATATATATATATATATATATTTATATATAATTTTTTTTTTTTTTTTTTTTAACAGAGTGGCAGAAACGGGCTTCCATAAAATAGTGACGATCACTGTCAACACACGGTTCTGAAAAGATGTCCCTCAGAGCCAGAGTTGCAGTGCGCATGTGCGCTGCATCTCCCCACTCCCTCTCCTCTTGTCGCCTTGGCAACAGACAAAGAGGGGGGGGGCTCTCTGACGGCCAGAGGTGAGATAGAAAAGGTATCGGCGCTCATCACATGACCCTCCTGGTTTTAGCATCTCTGCGTTGAGGTTTTGGGAGCATTTTACTAAACAGCCCGCTTTCTCTCGGAGGACGTCTGACGGACTGAACGGGATTCGGTGAGTGTGGCGCTGCTGATAGGGAGGGTGCTAGCAGCGGGCTAACAGCCTGCAGAGACAATGGGGTCTGCGGGGATGGAGCTAACCGCATATTCGGAGCCCTTTATAACTCGCGTTCAAATAACCAATCAGGCTGCATTAAACGCCACCGTTTACCTTTAGCCTAATGAGCTTCCATTGTGTTAGCAACATCAGGTGGTGAGGATCCCATCACACCTCACAGCCCTCTGAGGATATCAGCCTGAGGTGCTGAAATGTTCCTCCTAGAGGAGGGGTTATGAGAGGGTGAAAGAGGGCAGAGCTGTGTGATGACCACTGGCTGGACTAACTCAAAGCGACAGCTGCTGCCTCACTGACCTCAGCTTCCTACATCTGGGAGGAACTGAGGCTCTTCCATATGCATGGCTCAAGTTGCCATCAGCATCTCTCAGCCTCAGCTTGTCTCTGTAATGATCTGATGCAACCAAAGACTAATTTTTCCTCTGAAAGTTTGACTAATCTGGGCTCCTTCCCCAATCCTGAGATTATGCATCATGTATCTGTACTGGATTCCAGCTTCTTTATTACTCATGGGCGGTTCTAGACAGGGGCCAACAGTGCCACTGGAGATCAAAAGTACACACATTTGTCACTTCAGTAGTAGTATACATACTGCAGGTTAAAAACACTTGGGTAAAAGTTGAAGTATCACCTTGACTCTTTATTCAAGTAAGTGAAAATGTATGTGTTCCAAATACTACTTAAAGTATAAAAGTATAAAGTAACCTTTAAAAAAAAAAAAACCGCCAGATGCCACTATAGACATAGTTATGCACTAGAACAGACATGGTTACTTATAGGTCCTTTGGATCTATTTCTTTTTTTTTTCTTAAAAAATTCTTTCTTTTCCAATTCTTCTCTGTTTTTTCATTCTTAAATGTGATAAGGTGATAGATTCAGTGATATTGAGACGGGATCCCAGCTTTCATCTGCTAAATGTTTTTTCAAAACAAATTACTCTCATTTTTACTGCTGAATTTATCAGTTTTTATTGAGTTCTAATTCAGATTTTATAGAAAACAGTAATTTTAACTTAAATGTTGTCAAAAACATGTTAAATTCCTAAGTTATGAATGTATATTGACCTAATAAGACATAAAATTTTAATTAAACCTAATTGAATAGAAATGTCACTTGATGCAGCTCTCTTAATCTATTTGAATCCCTCGCCCTGTACTAAAAAAATACCATTTACTTTTTATCCAATGTTAAAATGTTTCTATCTATTAAATCATTTAATGTATGTCAGTCACTAAGCAAAGCACTGCTGCCTAGGATGGAGCTGCTGTGGTCAGTTATGAAAAATAAAAAAATTGCAGTAAATATTCCTAATACTTCCTGGTACATGTAGAGAGAATTGTTGTTTTTTTTTTTTTTACAGTTAATTACAGTTTTTTTGCTAAACAAAAGCTAATTTAGGGGTAAATAGTCCTTTAACCTGCTGGAATCAAAAAAGGGATTGAAAGTGCCTCTCAATTAGGTCTTCCACCAAGTTAATGGTCCAAAAAACTTGGCTAATAATCCATAATCCAATAAAAAAACAACAACAACAAAAAAAAAAAACAAGATCTAAGCTAAGAGGAAGCCAAAACACCTGGTTTCTGAATAACGAAGATTTTTGCAAATAAAAATGTTCAGAGATACTCCTGTCTGTTTGCTCCAACCTTGGGGAACAATACAGCAGAAGATGGAGTTTTATTCTCTTTCCAAAAGGTTGTTGTACAAAATACTGACAAGGGACATTGCCAAGATTATAACAGTGGGGATTTTTTAAAGACAAATGCTAAGATTTTTATAAAAAAATCAAGGCATTATTTCAAAGCCTTGTTTTTTTTAAGAAACATCTGTGTAAGAATATCCTACAAAATAATGGTAGAGTTAATGAGAAGCTTTTCTTCCATCACCTTAGTAGGTGGTCAGTAAGTGCGGGAAATAAGCTTTGTAAAATCTTTGAGTTTTTTTTTATGTCACCCTGTTTTGCACTACTGATTCCTTTAAGTATCTGTAAGATGCTAATTTCAGCTGCAAAATCTCACAAACCCTCTCCTTCAGATTACTGCATTTTACATGTTTACTTGACCGAAAACAAGTCACCATAGTGAGGGCAATGATGCTCTAACTATTGAAACTCCAATATCTAGGGCAATATCTAGGCAAGCGCAAAAGCACATTGCGCTTCGATCCCAGAGGTTCTGAGTTCAAGCCCCACTCCCACAGACTGCCACATTGGGTCCCTGAGCAAGACCCTTACAACACAGTGGCAGCCTACTGCTCCACAAAGGGATGGGTTAAATGCAGAGAGCGAATTTCATGTTCTTCTGACATTGTAATGACAAAGTTGAATTCTATTCTATCTATTAAAACTCCAATATCTGTTAAAACTCTAATATTTAGCAATTTGGATTAAAGTACCGCAGCCATTATTTGTCAGACAGTTAAAGACAAAGAAAGATTAGAAAAACATGACATTTGTTTGTGGGGTAGAGGGATGTGGCCTTTAAGAGGTAGGAGTTGATTTTGTGAATGCATGCTGGTTGGGCTTAAGCTGTACTTGGACCAGACTGTTCCAAAGCCTCTTTTTATGTTAAGCACTTCAAAGACATAGATTTCTGAAGTGCATGTTAGTTTTAAGCCATTGGTTTACATTTTAAGCTAGCTGAAAAACTCATTGCTTTAATACTGAGCACAGAAGATGTTCAATACTGGCCTACTCTTTGGTCCTCTCCTCAACTATAATGTATTTCTGTCTCTGCAGACATGTCCGACATAGTTCCACCAGAGGTTAGACCCAAGCCAGCCGTTCCTGCCAAGCCCCCGAACGTGGGGGCTCCCTCCCCTTCTAGTCCCTTTCCCCCCCAGGGCCCAGGTGTCGGAGCGGGCGGCGTTACTGCTCCTCCAAGTGCTATTCCAGTTTCCATCGGCGGTCACGGTGCAAACCTTGCTGGCATTCACGGTCACAGTGTGGGCCACAGCGGCGTTCATGCCGGGGGTCATGCTCCAGCTCACAGCGGGGGTCAAGGTCACGGAGGCTCTCACAGCTCCAGCGGGGGCTCCGCTCTGCTTGGCTACATTGGCATCGACACCATCATTGAACAGATGCGAAAGAAGACCATGAAGACTGGCTTTGACTTCAACATCATGGTTGTTGGTGCGTCACAATAGATCACATTTCTCCCATTTATATCTTCTCTTTAGCTTATTCGAATTCTAACCTACATCAAATCCCTTTCAGGTCACAGTGGGCTCGGCAAGTCCACTCTGGTGAACACTTTATTCAAGTCCCAGGTGAGCAGGAAGAGTGCAGGATGGTCTCGTGATGAGAAGATCCCCAAAACCGTGGAGATCAAGTCAGTGTCTCATGGTGAGTAAAAAAGGAAAACTCTTCTCCTTCCTTCAGAGCATTCGTCTTATTCACTTAAAGGTGTAGTGGATGATGTTCGTTTTCCAGGTGGCTCATTAAAATAAGCGGTCCTCCTAATTGTCAATCATTCTGGCGATATCTCGCCCCCATTTTCACTTACTGGTGGTGAGTCTGACATAGTGGAAAAATGTTTAATCTTTTGGAAAGTAAGCTTGTATGAGCAATGAAAACAGCAACTTTTAAACAGAGCGTGCACAAGGAGAAACGGGCTCATGCATGCTCTCTCAAGCGTTGAGTGGAGGTTTTAAGGACCCAAATGCAGAAGCAGGGAGGCAGTTGTGAGTTCTTGAAGATTTAATTGAATGTTCACAAGCAACTGAGGCAGGAATCCAAAAATCTAACATAAAAATGTAAAACAAACCAGAACCATGGAGATATCGGGGAAAACAAGCATGAGGAGTCAGGGAAAGATTAGGAACCAGCACTGAGGAACTGCACAGGGAGAGTTTATATGGGAGACTGAACAAAGACAGGACTAATGAGCTAATTAGGAGCAGGCGTGAAGAGAGGATTCTAGAAGGGAGCGAGGGAAAAGGGAGACCAACACTAGAGGGCGACAGAGGGCAACAAAGAAAAACCTAAGAAGTCAAATATATCCAGAAAACACAACAAAATAGGAGTTAAACCAATAAAAGTAGAAAACATGGAGCAAAGTAAAACTGAATGCTCAAAAGAAAACTTAACAGAACCAAGACCGTGAAAAACCTCGACTATACCTATATAACATTATAAAGAGAGCAGCTTCAGTAACGTTCAGTATAAAATACGCAGTCTGCTTTAGGCAGGGAGAGGAAGGGTTGTTTACTTGAACTCTGCCTTTGCTTTCATTCCCAAGCTAATCAGAATAAATCAGCTATATATGAATAAAGGGGAGGTAATTAAATGAAGAGACTTGAGTGATATTTGTCCAGTTGGGCAGATAAGCTTCGAGGCGTAGATGGTGGGTTTCAAAAGATCAGTGCTGGAGGCTTTTTATGATAAGGATATTTATATCTGCCGCTTTGACTCGCAGCTCCTAATTAAAGATCAGTTTCCCAGGAGCCGTAATTAAAAAATGCTTTTAGCTCTGTTGGTTTTGACAAACTTGTATACTCTCATCTTTTCTCTTAGCATCACTAACTCCGCTAAACTGCTCTGATGTTTGTTTTCTCATGTCTTCCAACAGTATAGCCAATACTTTACAGACCAGTGCTGGAATATATATATAATAAAAATCCATGTAGCGATCCATTTATATTAAGAACCACTGGAATCTTGGGGTCTCATTTTCTGCCTTTTAAAATATCTAAACAAACCCGTGTTCTCCGTGTGAATTTGAGACAGCAGGATGTAAACACTGGGAAAGAAATGATGTAAAGTGAAAAAATACCTGATGGGATAGTTTCCAGCTAATTAGGCTAATGAGTAGCCGCACAGTAACCTGATAAGATATAAAAAGAAACGACCCACAGAGGCTGCTTTGCTCAGGAATAGACAGTAAGAGTTCACTACAGTGAGACACGGTTCAACATTATGTATTTTTAAGGCATTACCTTCAGATATTCCTTTTTTTGTTTTCCTTTTCAAGAAAGCCCAGTTTCTAGTTCAGACAGATGGTCTCACAGTGTCGCCGAGCCAAATCTGATACAGTGCAGAAATAATACATGAATCACTGACTGCAGGCTGTCCAGTCATTGAAGCAGTGAAGAAACCCACAGCCTTACCCACTATCATGCCTTTGGTCTACAGGATGTATGCTCCAAAATAATCCCTCTCTACACTTAAAATTCATCAAACCTAAATGAACTAAACTCTGTTATTATTCTAATTAATTATCAACAGAGTTTGACCTCTAATCCAGACAGTAAGTAATGCAGGTTTATTTAGTTTCTATTTTTTTGGTTTATTTGTAGAAACTTTAACCTGGTTCCATTGCTCTGTTTTGTAATCTGTTAATCAAGCAGTCCTGGATTAAAAAACCTTTCAATATTCATAAATAACAGCAGTCAGCGGATTCTTTTTGGAGCATCTCTACTGATAGCAGCACAGGATCAACAGATGTGGTGTTTTCTCAACAGTTTGAGAGAAATATGTGAGAGAATAAAGAGGAGACGAAAGGGCACATGATAGGACAGATATATGATCACACTTCAAGATGAGGGGATAGATCAGTAATAATCAAGAGAATATGTTTGTACAACAGAAATCCAAAGCTTTTTTTGTTGTTTCTTCCTATTTAATTCCCAGAAATCATCAGACTTCCTGGAATAGTCTTTTTATCATCAAGTTTAAAGATGACAACAGTATAAATCGCGATAGGCAAATGATCGATATAAATATATCTGATAAAACTAATTATTCTGAACTCTGATTCAGAACTAAGTGAGTAAGGACAGGATTTAGCCTCTCAACCTCCTGAATTAAAAAAGTTTGTAGTAGGGTGAGCGATTTTTAAAGGTTTTTGGTTATGTTTACACAGGGTTAAAAATACTAGCCAATAATAAAGCAATATCTCAGAGAAATCTATTGCTTTTATAAAACATTTACCCTGATTATTAGCCCATAAAGAAACATAGTCAAACCCACAAACACAAAAAAAAATATTTGTCTTTAATAATGAAACAATGCAACAGAGACTATTTTTCCCACCAATGAGTGAACAGCATGGTTACCAAGCAACCAAGGTTCACTAGACCACAGTGCTGTCCCATCATAGAGTTAACATACCGCACCTCCACACCAGCATTGGGCAGTTTGTTCCTTGGGTTAGGGTTACGATCACTGGAGACGATCTTGGTGGCTGAGTTTCCACTGACTGCTTTACAAATGTGAGGCATCGTGCCTGCGAGGAAATCTGCCATGTTCAACCGCTGCTTCCTCAACCACTCATCCACCCAGCACTGAAAAGTTCACCACAAAGATAAAAGTTTAGGCAGCAGCGTCCTTCTAACATGAACAATTTCTAAGATGACTGAGAACCTTTTATTCTCAACACTAAATCAGATTAAGTGTGCATCGTCTAGCCAAAAAAACCTACAATCAATTTAGCCGCTACATCCGTTGTCCTGCGGTTTTACTAGATCTAATTGTGGGTTAAACTATATTTCCTAACAGCATGGAACGCGGCTCAGCCAAACACATTCAGGAATGGGGAATACCTGTTTTACAATCATCAATATTGACGGCTATGAAGGGTTTATATCATGATACACTTTCCAGTCGAACAGACACAGCCCCTAGAAAAAAATACAATTCACATTATCCTCTTATTTCTCAGCCTGGGTCAGAATTTATGATTAGGACAATATTCCCACCCTGGTCGTCAAGATCCTCTCAGTGAAAAAAGCTACAAAAAATAATAAAGTTATCTGTCTGTTAACTCAAGCTATTTGATGTCTAGTTAGAGAATATAATTCCCAAATGTTGTTCATACTGGAAGAAAAAACAGGCTTGTGAAGTAATTCTTATTCTGAAATTCAAAGTTAAGTTTGCAGCTCCTAATATTGCATTCTAGATAAAGTCAGGTGCTTCTAAAAACTTGTTTTCCATCTGTTAATGAAGTAAAAAAAATAAAATAAAGGTAATGTTCAGTAGTTTGTTGGCATTAGGAAACTGGAATTGTTATGATCTTAGTGCTGATGACTGGCCTGATTTCTCATTTCATCGTTAGAGGAACATTGTTAGTGTTCCTTTAACGACGAAGCCCCCCACCTCCACCTGAGCAGCCTGGCCCAGAGGAGCTCCTCCAAGCCGCCATCAGGCATCCAGGTGGAGGGACACAGATCAGGCTGAGGAGAGGCTGGATATTGGAGCTGCTTCTCTGTGGCAGTAGAGAGCTCCTGTCCTAATACTCAGCTCAACGAAGGCTCAAATAATCTGGCTCTGATGACTGGATGAAGGCTGGTTAAATAGTGCCTGAAACAGGTGGATCTGATGAACGGTAACGAGAGCTGGGCGGAGCTAGGCAGGTGAATGAAATGAGTAATTAGGCCAGTCATCAGCACCAAGATTATGACATGATTAAACCAACCTGTGTAGATAACATGGTTTGACTCACCAGGAAAATCCATCTGTCTTTACTTTTATGGTTACAGTGATTGAAGAGGGTGGGGTCAAGATGAAGCTGACAGTTGTTGACACTCCTGGCTTTGGAGACCAAATAAACAACGACAACTGGTAAGTTTCCTGACTAACCTACCATGTTGATATCAGCCTGATGTCATATCGACCCAAAAACGATCCAAACCATGATGAAAACATAACATTTGAGCTCCACAGAGCTGCAGTAACATATGTTATCTGTAACAATCGTGCATTTTTTCCCCCCTAGCTGGGAACCCATCTCTAAGTACATCAATGAACAGTTTGAGAAGTTCCTGAAAGAAGAGGTGAACATCACCAGGAAGAAGCGAATCCCTGACACCAGAGTACACTGCTGCCTCTACTTTATTCCCCCGACTGGCCACTCGTGAGTAAAACTGCAGAGGAAAATCCCTCTTGTTGGCTGGGAGCCGCCTGGGTGGCACCTTGACCCCCTGGATGGGCTGATTATGCTCCCGCAGTAGTGTGTCGCTGTGAGCTTGTTGCAGATATTTTTGATTTATGCCCAATATTTAAGCGTGGTCTGCGCTTTGTTATTCCACACCACAACGCAAGAGGTGGTGAGGAAGTGAGGGCAAGTTGGTGCGACAACGGAGGGTCATGAGGGCGAAAAATAGCGGGGATACAAGTGGAAAAAGGGTCCCAGCGTTCTCGCGCACCTCGCTCTTCTAGCTGGTCCAACTTCACGAGTCGTTTTTTCCACAATGGCGGTCATAAAAACAGAACAAGGCTGTAAGGTACCAAACAGGAAATACACATAGTGTAGAGCGGATTTAGATTTGACCAATCAGAGGCCTCCTGTCTGCGGCACTGTCTCTGGTCAACTACAATTTCGAAGAGGTGCAGCAGAGTGTCTGTGGAAGGGGTGGGGGCACATTTGCGTTCACTGCGACACATGCAGACGACCTGGTTTCTGAGTATATATCAGCCTTTAGGCGCCCCACAATAAGCTGTTGCTGACAACAGGGAAATGGCTCCTTAATGGCTGCAGTCTTTCGTAAATCCGTACCCATTCTGTAAATGCTTTGATAAATGTTGGGCCACATCAGGTTATAATTCTTGGGTAGTTGGTAAACAGAGAAGTAAAACTGATGCCGTGTAAGGGTTAGTTATTAGTGTGTTATCTTTACTTTTTGAGAGGGGTGAGCTGTTCTAGAAACCTTTTATAATGCGAACGTTCAGATTCTATTCTGTGTGTGTGTCTGTGCTAGTCTTCGACAGCTGGATGTGGAGTTCATGAAGCGTTTGAGTCACTCTGTGAACATCATTCCTGTGATCGCAAAGTCTGACACAATGACCATCGAGGAGAGACAAGAGTTCAAACAGCGGGTTAGTTGGATCATCACTGACGAATTGGGTCATTTAACAGATGAGAACTGGTTTTATTAGGAATGTGTTGGGGTGAAGAAAGTGTGAGCTGTTCTGTCTTTGCCTTCTGTTACGGCGCAGGTTAGGAAGGAGCTGGAAATGAACGGGATCGAGTTTTACCCACAGAAAGAGTTTGATGACGACATAGAGGACAAGAGTGACAACGACAAGATCAGAGTGAGTTCATCCTTCCTTCCTTTCTTTCTCATCTATTTAATCCCAGTAACACTTTTTTTTCAATTAAAATCTACTTTTAGACTCTAATGATTTATTTTATCGATTAATCGATTTTGATTATGAAGATTTCATTTTTGGAAAATCAAGATTTTTTTTTTTCAACCATTGTGCTCCTTGGGCTTCCATATCTCAGTGACATCAGTTCTTTATTTTCTATTCTCAGATTTCTACTCGTAACTGATAAACTGGCTCACTGTTTGACACCACTAGCTGCAAACATTATGTTATAGTTTCATTGTTTGTTGCAAAACATAAAGCTTTAGTTTCATTGCCCTAAAAATTAGAGTCAATTCCCAGAAGGGACGAATTTAATAAAAACTATTTTCATTTGTTTTTCCTTTTTGTATTTTTTGTTATGAAACATAAGCAAGGAAGAAAAAAGATTAATCAGATTTGGTTGGAAAGAACCAATTTGTTGTACGAAAGATATACGAATACCAGTAGATGACGTTTATTTTCATAATTTGAAAAAAATGATAATTTGAAAAAGAAAAGTAAAAGTCATGACATGTAAAAACTGTTTTCATTCTAAATCATGTTTTTTATTATTTATAATAAAGAAAACAATTGGTGTTATATTCACATTTACAAATACAACGCCTTTCCTGACAGGCACAAGAATACAGCTTAAAGCAGGGGTCTTCAACGTTTTCAAAGCCAAGGACCCCCAAACTGATTGCGAGATGGAGCGGGGACCCCCTAATCATATATATTGTATGAAATTGTGTTATATCAATCTGGTCCTATAGTCACTCTATTACATATGGAGTCATGTAACGAAAGTAATTTCTCCCTGGGATTATTAAAGTATTTCTGACTCTGATTCCTGGTTGATGGGACAGGTGTTGTGAATGAAACGGTGTCCAGGTTTGAAAGAGCTCCTGTGTGTCGCTGAATGTGTGCATTGATGACTGAAAGACATCTTCTGCTTTCATTTATCTGTTTACTACAGTGTGTTGAATTCATGTTAATGTGGATTTAAAGACATTTTAATTAGTGCAAAAAATTGCAGGAAGGAATATAAAAGAAGTAGTCAACCAAGACTTTTGCGACCCCCATGCAGTACCTCTGGCTTAAAGGATATAATTAAACCGTTTTATTGTGATGATCTCAGCATTATCTGCTTAATGTTGCAATAGCACGAATGAACAGCTGACAGCTGTCTAAAAGAAGATTCAACCTTCTTACCACCTTCTTGATTTTATTTTTGCTAACTTTGCTAGCTTTGGGTTTTTTTCAGATGCGACATTCACACTGTAGAGTGATGTTTGTGCCACTGGGAGCCTTTATGTTGCGTTTAACAAAACTGTTTCTAGCCATTCTGTCTCTGGTCATGCCAATAAAAATGAAAAGTTGTTTGAATTCGGTCACATTTTTGTTGTAATCCATTAGAGGTGTGAGACGCAGGGATACTGGAAACACTTTCTTTCATGTAAAGAACTTTTATTAACGCTGGATTATTGTGAAATCTGTCTGTCTGCAGGAAACGATGCCCTTTGCTGTGGTTGGAAGTGATAAAGAATACCAAGTGAATGGTAAACGAGTCCTGGGGAGAAAGATACCTTGGGGAATCATAGAAGGTGAGCAATGTTAATGACTTTTTGGTGCTTTTGCCATAAAAACATCAAAATGAAATAAAACCTGTTTATTTTATTTAGCCTCAAAATATAACATCATCTGAAGGGACTTTACAGATTTTATTCAGTCAAATCATACTGATTAGTTAATTTGCCTGTTGATTGCATCCAGTGAAAATTGTAGGGTTTTTTTTTTATCTGTTTTTATTTTCTGTTCTTTTTTCAGTTGAAAATCCAAACCACTGTGAGTTTGCACAGCTGAGAGATTTCCTGATCAGGTAAGTCTGCCTTCTGAAGCATATCTAAATGCTGCCCCAATAAAAGATTTAAGAAGTAAATAAAACCTGAAATCAACTTTCTTTTGCAGATAACTATTCTGCAATATTTGGCCAAAAATCTCAATGCTGCCCTCTGTGGGTTGAAATGTGACTCCTGCAGTTAAACGTATTGGTTAAAAACCAAACAGCTTAGTACATGTCTGATGTTCAGCCATCGTAGCCATTAAGGTTTAAAACCATCTCTCTCAGGGCGCCACTGCAGCCATGATAGTGCTTTAATTTAGATCATTTGGTCACACATTTGCTGTCGCTTCATACTGACCATACCCCAACTTAAGTCCCTCTGCGCCCTATGCTTTGCCAAACTGTCCACTTTATGGACAGTTTTCCATGTTATGCTTTCAGTATTAAAGAGGTTATTGGACGAATTTTTTGTTTAGAATGATAATCAGCTTTCACATTTTTTGGTAACGTTTTGGCACCACATCTTTCCTTGCCACCATATTAAGTTATCAGCTGGACATGTTGGCACCAGTTGTTGGAAACATCTGAACTGAAGCAGTTCAAGTTTGCTACACGTAGATAAGACATAGCTTCATATCATGCAGTAGAGAAAATGTTCCGACTCCCAGGGTTCTGTTCTAGGTTCATCTCTGCCCTCCCCCAGATATGTCTCTGAGCATCACCATCAGGAAACCTGGCAGCTGCTAACACTATTATCCTCATGATACCCAGTTGTTCCTACAAATGAATCCACATGGCATATAGCAATCCGCTAAAATGGTCAGAAAGCAGACATTGTGCAATTTTCAGTGGTTAAATGAAATTTATCCTGAAATAATTTATTTTTTGCTGACAAAAGAAATGCTAAGAAGCAAGCAAACACATTTATGTCCAAAGCCTAGAAATATGCTGCATTCCATTCCTTCTCAAATGTCATAATTTCCAAACTCTGAGCAGAATATTTAAAAGAACGTTGAAATGATGATTCAGAAAGTCGAGGCAACAAGACCTTACCCGACTTCTGCACTAAAAATGGCGGCTGCTTGTATTAACAGTAGTTAAAGGTGACAGCTACAAGTTTAACTTCTCTCAGCCAGTAAGTGGTCCACTCTCATTCCGTACTGTTTTGGGTATTTTTGTGAGGTTTGATTCTGAGAAATATGACGCTGAGGATCTGGGAACTATTCCTATTTGTACAGAATCCTTTATGTTAGCGTCACAACCAGAAGTAAATACTTCTTCTTTGATCCCATCAAAATTAATAAAAAAAACATTTCTTTGCTTTTTCTTGATATTCTTCTTTCTGTTCCACTGCAGATGTTCTGTTGAGTTTTTTTTTTTTTTTTTAAGTACCAATTTGATGAAAACCTTGTAGCTCTGACCTTCAAACTGACCTACTTTGTTTTTTGTACACATACTACTCTTCACTTTTAATAAAACAAGATGTTTCAGTGCTGTGAAAACACTTTGTAGATCACGGTTTTTGACTTTGTTATGGTTTTAACTGGTACGATTGTGACTATATTGGATCGATGAGATCCCTAAACCTCTGAGATTGCGTCACTCTGACCTCCTAGTTTGGGTGTACATGGAATCCAGCTAATGACCTGCTTTGATTTTACCAGTCATGTAACATTCTAAAATAGACCGAACAATTTTGCATGACTGACTGAAATCTGAAAGGAAAAGCCATTAGACTGCTTTATAAAGAAATCAAATTTTTCAGGTATCTTCCCTCCCTTAATGAAAACTACACTCTGCATTTTAAGTGATCAAATTAATGCTGTTTAATAAATAGCAACTCATTATCCCATAGGAATAGCATCAATGGTAAGCTTTGACTGTAAAACAAGATCAACCTGAATAATTAAGCAAATACTTACCACAAAGTGAAACTTTACATAAAATGATAAGCACTGATTTTTCTATTTTGTAAATTAGACATGCCAAATGAGGAGAAGATGTATTTTGACTTGTTTCTATTACTATCAAGTAATCACATTTTTTTTATTGTTCAATTCAAAAGATTGAAATGACCTTTGAACTGTGCTATTTGTTTTTTGCACAACCTATCTGCAGGTCCCACCTGCAGGATTTGAAGGAGGTCACTCACAACATTCACTACGAGACGTACCGTGCCAAGAGATTAAACGCCAACGGAGGTCTGCCCCTCATCACTTCGAACGACACCCAAGAAAGCAACCTGTAGTCAGTCAGTGGCAGAATGGGTCAATATAAAAAAAACGCAATGATGCTCATATAGGAATCTGTAAGATTAAAATTATAGGATTTTTTTTTCACCCCAGCTTTGCTGCATGAGTGAAATAACCATTATTAGTCTGTAAAACTCTGTTTGCCTCCTTTTCCATGTCAACCCATCCAAAGGATGTTCATTTTCCCGACTTCTGGGGTTTTAATGACAAATCTGTGGTATACTGAGGTTAGGATAATTGATTATTAAATTGCAGAAGTTCTCTCATTCAACCTATTTTCTTATTTCCAATTTAATAATAAGTCAGGAGAATACATTTAGTTTGTATTTAACAGCGAACATATCAAACAGAGCTTGGATTACCACTCCAAAGACACTTTTACTTAGTTTTCCTTCTTGATTATCTTTATTGATTATTAATGGGAAGATAGAGTATTGTCACCAATCAGGCATTGAACTACAACAATGAGCCATAAATGTACAAAATATCACCTCTAGTTAAATGCTCTGCTGCATGTGAGCCGTATTACCCAACCCTTTGTTTGAATCCATTCCTCGCTCAAATTTCTGCAACATTAGTCATTTCTGTTTTAATTGACCCGTCTCAAAGACACTCGCTGTTTATTTGCCGGTATGTGTTCTAACATTTCTTTAGTATTTCGTTCAAAGAAAGCAACAAAAAAAAGTATAATTTTGGGTTACTGTGTGGGAATTAACTTATTAGAGAATAAGGAGTCCAGTATTCAAGTCTGAAAGTAATTACCCATGCAATCAATACTTTTTGAGCTTAAATGTAACATATGTTCTGAAAATTATAAGTTATTTAGTGAAATAGATTTAAATAGAAGTTAAATGTAGCTGGCATACAGATGAGAAAATGAGATTTGCTATTGAAACAGCAAGAGATCAGAATTGGGTGATATTCCCTTGATAAGTGCTGATCATTGACCAGTAAGTACAATTATTTAGTTCTTTGTATTTAATGCCATATATACTTAAATTAAGACTTCACTGATTTTTTTTTTTGGCCTGTAATTTGATGCACTTTCTAAAAATTCTGCACAGATGAAAATGTAATAATTTTTACCATCACCAATTCTAAACTGCTGCCACTGTCGGATAAACAGCAGCACGTTTGCTTCCTATGTGTTACAGTACAAAGGAAAAATAATCAGTAGGTAAAGAATGCCTGAATGGGTAATGATTAGGAAACGCCTGAAAAAATTCAAATCTACTTGAGCTCAGTTTTATGTTTATAGATGAAGCTACAGGACCTCATGTCAGTTAAACAGTCACCAAGAGTTCATGGTAATTGGCTTTAGAAGCCAAGGGTCGACTAAATTGAAATGACCAACAGCAGTTAAATAAAACTAAAAGCAAAACGTGATGAAAGGTGAAAATACTGTGTTGCACCGTACACTTTCCTTTACAGGTTTTAATAAGGAGAAATAGCACTATAGTAGGTTTTATTTGTATTTGCATTAAGGGCCAATCTAATTTGAACGTTTTAAAATTGTGATCAAGGCCCACTGAAATTCCTCTGAGGGCCACACTTAGCACAGCACTGCTGTAGAGCTTTAGAAATTTGGTTCATCATGACTTTTCTATTTTAAGGTTTTCATTTTGTGAAGCCAACACGAGTAAGACATTGTGCCATCACTTTTTTAACAGTTTATTTCTTACCTTTTTTGAAAGAAAATCTCTAAAGTGCCACATTAAGAAACATAATGGAAACAATTTACAGTTTTAGGAAAAACAGCAGCAGCTTGTATTGAGATTTTGCCTTTTTAAATTCTCTGCAGCTGGTGCTCAAATGCAAAAAGGATCCCTTTGTTAAGACTTACTGTCAGGACATCTTAACATATATAACAAATCCACTCAAAGAAAAATATTGTCTTTAATATTCCCTCACCCAGCCTAATTAGTTTTTTTTCTTATTGTTTCCATGCATTATAAAATGGCAAACAAGAGCAGTATCAGTTGTTTTCTACTGCAATGAATGAGGCTAACTATAGTATCTGCATCAGTAGGAAAGATGCAGCTCATCCAGCAAGTGTTCACTGTATGATAACATTATGCCCCAGCAGGGACACCTTGTGGATTTTTATCTAGATTAGCGTAGATTCAGATGGATTTTAGTAATTGTGAATATTTTACACTTAAATGACAGGATTTTAGATGATTGCAGGATTTATTCAAGACACTTATCTTTGCACAAAGGTTATTTTCTTTTAATCACACTCTCTAACTCAACCCTCCATGGTGGCCACTACCAAAAACATATTCCACTTGTGTTGCCTGTTTTATTTTGCATTGCAGAGAACATGCATATAGAAATATAAACAACATTCTAAAGACATCAACATAAACAGGTTTGTCGGTTTTTTAGCACATGAATAGAGAGCTTAAAAACTTGCACTGCCAGTTTAAAACTAAACTACCCCTGCTCACCACTTGGTGGCAGCAGACTTCAACTTTAAAACAGTTTTATTGATAGGGGAGAAAAAGACCATAGATGCTCAGTCTATTTTTCATTTACCGATTTATTTCACCTGAAAATGTTTACAGAGCATGCCAACATATCAGGTTTATTATAAACTTTAATGCTCTAATGGTGTTCGTTAAATAACCGAGCTGTAAACATGCTTACCAAGTTTGCCAAGTTCAAGACTTATCCATGTTTTACCTTGTACAGTTGCTATATTGTGGAGAACCATTATGCCAAAACTAAATGATGTAATCCTCCAGTAAATCGATCATGACTATAGAGTCACATATGTCAGTATGATGTTGTGATTTTAGTTCAATGGAAGGTCTAACAGCAGAAATATGTGGGATTGTGTTTGTTTGTGCATGCTTCTTTCCAAACAGGCTGTCAGTTTTCACGTCGACATTATTAATTGGATTTTTCTGCATATGTGAGTTGAGTGTGTCATGAGGTTGAGACGCTGCCGTCCGACCCCCTGTGGCCCCTTTGAGTCAGTAATACAACATCATGGTACTTATTTATAGATTACTTTTTGTAAAGTTACCGTGACACATTTAAAGTATAATTTGCAGTGTTATTTGACATTATTTATACATCTGTGTATTCTTGTAATTTATTCTTTAATAAAATGCACTTGTCCATGTTTTTAATTTTCTACTCATGATTTAGTGATTTTATATTGAAAATACTGACATGTGACCTACACACTCAGATATGTTTTTGTTACACTAGTTAGGTTTTTCTTTCAATGGATTTCAAACAACATGGTGGCACTGTGTTGATCTGTTATTTACCCCAAATCCCTGCAAACATGCTATTTAATACAACAGAAACCAAACTGATTACAATACAAATGGATCACTAATAAAAAAAATAAAAGCATCACTTTAAAGTACAGTTGGGACAAAAACTATTCAGCCAGCCACTGTGCAAGATTTCCTACCTTTGAGAGTGAAATGAGGAGTAGGATTATTAATATTTATAGGTCTATTATGGTGGAAAGTATTTGGTCACCAATTGATGGTACCTGTTAGAACTTGTTTTCTGGATGAAAGAGATTTGCCCATAGCCTCAAACGGTTAGACTCCAAGATCAACTGTGGCTAAGATCAGCGAGCTGTTAAAGACCATCAGAAAGAAAACTAGATGGGGAAAAAAAAAGTTGAAGTGTTATTTAACAAGAAATTGAGCTATAGTGTTCATTTAAGCAACATTTATTAATCCTTGCTTAGGAGAACAGATGCAGTCTTGCCCATGTTCCTGCCTGTACTGGTCACACATGATTTCACTAACTACTTAAGAAGCACTTGGAGAGATTCTCGAAGACAACGTCGACAGTTTCCACAAACTGAAGGCTTGCTGAAATACCTTTGATTCTAAAATGAATCTAACTTCTTAGCAAAACTGGAAAACAGCTTCTGAGGCATCTGTAAGATAAGACCACATTCAGCCATGTCTAGCAGGTGCTCTGCTTGAGCAAATTTATTCAAAGTGAGAAAATAAAAATCAGCACTCATAATTATTATCAGAAGGGATGTAATAGGAAATTGATTTTTCCGTCCACACCTGCAACGGGCTCAGAAGAATGAAGCTAAAATGGGCAAGTTTTTGTTTGTATGTTTGTTTGCTTTTTGTATCTCTGTTTCTGTCTCCTTAAACCTCAGTCGGCCTCGGCAGATGGCCGCTCACACTGAGCCTGGTTCTGCTGGAGGTTTCTTCCTGTTAAAAGGGAGTTGTTCCTCTCCACTGTCGCTACAAGCATGCTTAGTGTGAGGGATTGCTGAAGAGTCAATGAGTCGATGCAATCAACTGGTTTTCCTTAGCTAGAAAACTTTGAATCAATTTGACTGCATGATCTGGTTGAACTGTAAAGTAAACTGAACTGAATTGAATAAATCAACTGTAAGAGCAATTGTATATAAAAAAAAGGAAATATATATAAGATAATTTATAATCTAACCCTTGATCTGGGGCCCCACTCACGAGATCACATCCTCAGGGATTAGAATGATGGGAAAAGTGAGCAAAATTCCCAGAATTACAAGAGGGAACCCAATAAATGCCCTGCAGAGAGCTGGAACAAAAGTACCAAAGGCTACCATTAGGTCCACACTAAGCAGAAAGGGGCTCACATCAAGAAGAGGATTAGGAGAATATAATGTGGTCAGGTGAAACCAAAGTAGACATTTTTGGCCCAATCTGAACTTCTCCCTCTTGAAGGAAACAACACTAAGTTGCATCCAGAGAACACCAAACCTACTGTGAAGCATGAGGGTGGAAACATCATGCTTTAGGGCTGTTTTTCAGCAAAGGAGACAGGAGACCTGATCTTTGTTAATGTAGAATGAACGGGGCTCGGATGATGAGATATCAAGCCAAAACCTCTCCATCAGTATCAGTATTGAAGATGTAACTCAGTGCTCAAGTAATTTAGTGGCTCTGTTAAAAAGCATTTAAGGACTGGGAATGACCTAGTTAGTCTCCTGACCTAAATGGCATGGAAAATTCGTGGAGGGAATTGACAGTCTGTGTTGCCCAGTGACAGCCCCAAAACATTGCTGCTCTAGTGGAGATCTGATGGAGGAAAGGACCAAAATACCAGCATTTCAGAAGGTAATTTGCAAGAGAACAATGTTCCCTTAAGCCGGGCGTACACTCCACTTCTCTTCACCCTTTACACCTCGGACTTCACTTACAACACGAGCAGGTGCCACCTCCAGCCATTAAATGTATTGCCCTTCACAAATTGATGATTTTGTTGATAGGGTTACTAGTTCCCTGCATATGGAGGGTAATGCTTTATTCTACTGCCTTGACTGCCTGCTTCCTTTTTCAAACGTCAGGATCTGACCCACCATGGATAAAGACAGGTAGGACTGATTTAAAGCACTTCTTAGAAATGACTAAGAAGCATGAACAATATGGGATTCACATGGAAAATAATATAATATAGCGTACTTTTTCAAGATCTTTGTTTATTTGCATAGTTACTCTTAAATAAAGACATTCTCAGAAAATAAATTTTTTATATATATAAAAAAAATATAAGGCTGACTAAAAGCTTCTCCATCAATAAATTACATACATATAGTATTATTCTAAGGTTTTTTTTTAAGGTAAGGACCATGCAAAACATATTGTTGCCTTCACAAAACCTCAGAAGTTGATATGGACTACAAGCTTGTGCCCTTGTTGGGATTTTATGTTCAATGCCCATCCAGGTTGGATGCCACATTAATGTTGTGAATTTATATTCTAATCATTCCGTAACAGTTCATTCCGTAAAAGTTAAAAAATTATTAAATAAAAAAAATAAAGACTCAAACTCACTGCGGATCCAGACATTTGAATTGAGAAAGCTTCCTGGAGAGGTAGCAAAACGTCTTCAAATCTTGGAAACCAAGTCCAGTGGATTTTCTTTTTTTTTTTTACTTTTACGGAATGACTATGACCTGGATGACTGAGAATCTTCATCAGTATATTCTATTCAATTCCCTGCCAGCTGGGAATTTATGTTTCTGATACTTTAAGATGTTATTGCCCTCCTCGGTAGGGGTGGTAAATATCTTATTTAAGCAGATGGTATTTGGGCTGTTATATATTGTTTATGAACACACACCCTACTAGCTGTGTGTTAGAACAATAAATGAAAAAGTGATTCGAGCTCAAATCATGGTCAAACAGATAAATCTGAAGATACATGGAATAGATTCACCACAACTTTTGTTCAAAATATAAGAGTTTATTAACAAAAGTCATTCAGCTCAAAAGTCATACATATTTCAGTTTAAAACTCTTAACTAAAACTAGTGAAACTCAACTAAGCTAAACTACTTTGTACAAAGAGGAAGGGGAAACATGGATGAAAACCATATTACAGTTTAAGGTGGATCTTGTGTTGAAAAACTAAAGTTTATCTGGTGTGACCTCCAGATCTCAACATCTGGAAGAATTTGGATATGATCAAATTAGCTTTTCACTAATTTAGCACAATTGGAATGGTTTCAAACCAATTCACAATGCAAATCCATGAGGTGAATAAAACATTATTTGTAGTCATTTAATAATATAATTCTTTATTAAATGAGTTGCTTAATTAAGAACCAATAACCGTTAGTTAAATTATTCTTTACCCTCTTTGAAATAGCTAGCAGTGAATAGACATGAGTATTCCATTAAATGACTTTTGGGCATACTTGGTAATGGAAATGTAATGAGCATCTGAGGAGCACATGAACAGTAATGTTATATCAGTGTTTAAACCCTTAGTGAAATAAAGCTTGTTCAAGCTTCAGCAAAAGCTCAACACACGTTCCTGTATAACATAGGGTGACCAAACGTCCGTATTTCACGTCCTGTCCCAGGAAATACGGACTTTTGGTCACCCTATGTTATACGTCCGTATTTTCCAGGACATATCCGTATTTCACGTCCTGTCCCGGGTTTTATTTTAGAAAGTGAGGAAATGTTCTGTTTTTTAAATTACCTTCATTGGACCATTAAATTTACAGGCGCTAGGGCACTGCGCACGACGCTGCGTGTGACGTAACCCCTGAGCCCCGTCAGTGCGGGCCACCCTGTTCTTAATCAGAATATAGATTGCATGACTGTCAGTACGCCAACAACATGCAAAAGCGCAAATGTATGTTTACCGACGATTTACAAAAGAGTTTCCCCGCTTTCAGAGTGGGTCGAGACACATTGGAGGCCTTGTGCACAGTGTGCAAAGCAGGCACATATGTCTCGGTGTCCAATGGAGGTGCAAGGAATCTTTTTGAGTTATTTTTGCTACACAAGAGGTATTTTTTGTTAATTAGCTCATTTGTTAATTTATTTTTTCCAATAGCCTACAGAGCAGACATTATTTCCTTCATTGCTGAGGCTGAGTATCATCTGTTATTGGGAGTTAAGAGTTATTGTTAACTTTTATTGTTAAGTGAGGGATGTTTAGATGAGACATTATTTCTTTCATTGTGCTATTCATTCATTACAGGAATTGTTAAGCGTTTTTAATAAATCAACTGTAAATATCATGTTATTGTAGGATTACATAGGCCTACGTTAAGTGAGTGCATGCCACAGACATCTCTATGCATGGGAACAGAGATCCCCCCCGCGCTCCAAGGTGTCCTGGTTTTCCCAAATGAAAATATGGTCACCCTATATAACATAGCGTAGCATGCAGTATATCCTGTTAGCTGTGTCTTCACTCACCAGAAAATACACAAAATGATCAACATCATCAAAAGACATATTGTTTGTTCTGTCCCTAATTGTGCCAGACCTACAAACCTTTTTGTCCATGTCCATGTCCATTGGAAGGCAGTTGATGGCCACCAGTGGTTTATTTGTCTCAGGCTCACACCAGGGATCCTTCTTATCCAGTCTGGCTCTATAAGTTCTGAAACTCTTGAGAATGTGTTGCAGAAAGTCTGTTTTGCAGCAGTTTGGTCCTGAAAGGTCCCTACGATGGCTTGTCCTAGATGATTCTGGAGATCTGGGTCTTTTGTGCCCGTTTTTTAAAAACAAAGAGGAGTATGACGTCATCCGCGCACCGGACTGGAGTTATGACAGGCAGCCCGGGCCACAGGCGGCTACACTCTACCCCTTTTATTCATTCGACTAGCTAATCTGAATCGTTTGATTCCATT